AAATGGTTACTCCCCAGCATGCTGAGGCTACTCCCATTGTATTTCCCTTCTGTAAATACAAAGTTTGCAGTGTTGAATTTTTCATGAAACTAAAACTTCATAAAATATTATGAATTATCAATATCTCCATGTCAAATCATCAAGAAAATTAATTAATGCAGAACATACATTGATCCATTGATTTGTATCTTGAATACTGAATTTTGAATTTTGATCTTTAAATCATGATTTCTTGTTCTTCAATTTAATTGTTCCAATCTTTCTTCTTGATTATAATTCTTGATTCTTGATTGTGAGTTTTGGATCATCCTCTTCAATATGCTTTCTCTATTAATTCGTGTGTTGATGAGATGGCACAAAGAATGAGAATTGCATATGAATTGGGGACCATAACCCTATATATAGTTTCCATATGCATTCGATTTTTCGTCAAATACAAACTCTAATGGATCCGATCTCTATATTGACATATGGTTGATTTCATCTTTAATGTTTTGATCATAATAAATAAGATTAATATTGTTTCTAACAATTGATTTTGGGTGATGATAGTTTAATGTTAAAATCAATCAAACATTTCCAAAATCAACATTATTCTTTTTCGAGGGAGCAATATTTGACTTGAATGATATTGGTGTTGACATATGGTTGATTTCATCCTTAATATTTTGATCATAACAAACAAGATTAAAATTTTTCTAACAATTGATTTTGAGTAATGATATTTCAATGATAAAATCAATCAAGGATTGCCAAAATCAATACATAATCAGACTCGAAATTAAGATCAAAGCGGAAGTTAAGCATTCAAGTCAAATCATTTGAGACGAGTGCTTAAAAGAAAAATATCAAGAAAAAGTAAGATCAAGAGCATGATAGACGACATGAAAGAAAGATCAAGATGAGAAGTCTAAGAGGCAAATTTCGAAGCAAGATCAAAAACTAGATTTCTTAGTTTAAATATAAAGATACTAATATTTAGATATTTAGCAACGGATGTACCGTTTTATGCACGAATAGATTATTTCATAAAAATAATTGCATAAAAAATTATTTTTCAAAAATGTAAGTGTTTCAATATGATGTTTAAATGGCTAATTATCACAAAGCGTCCCTACCTTTGGGGTTGATTTCGGAAACCATCCCTACCTTTCATTTCTTGGCATTTATGTCCTTACCTTTCACTTTTCGTGCGCTGGACGTCCTTTTCATTGTTTTTTGACGATTTTACCCTCCATTAAAGTAAAACAAAAAGAAATGAAATGAAAAACAATTGAACAAATTGCAACCATTGACCCATACTTTTTAAAAAGTGCAAATAACCCACCAAACTTCACCTTCTTCCCAAAACTCGCCCCACCATATCGCAACCTGCCGGCCATTTTCAGGCCACCGTGGCCACCGACTTTTGCACCAGCACCATCTCTTCATCAACCCCTAACATTTCTACACAAATTTCGGCCCCAAAAAACAACAAAATCGAACCAAAATTCGGCCAAAAAACAACCTTATATACACTCCATCTCATATCCCACTTCCTAGAAATTTCCTGCTTTTCTACCTTATATACCCACTCTAAGACTTTCTTACCCATATTATCGTTTTAGTTAATACATAATTAATTCATGTACTCGGAGTTGGAGGAAATGGAGAATGGAAATCAGTCGTCTTTTTGGCAATTTAGTGATGATATTCGACTTGAAGGAAGCAATTTGGCAAGTCTTTCTTTGAATGACTCAATTTGGAGCACCAACCATTCGACAAAATGCCCCACTGAGCAGAGACGGAATTTCGACATAAGGGTTGGTCCTAGTGAGGTTAATAACTCTTTCAATTCAATCAACCCAGTTGATAATTCCAAATCTGATTTCAATATAAGTTGTTTTTTACGGCGTGCAATGCATGCCGTAAAAACATCTTTACGGCGTGCGGCCGCACGCCATATAAAGCCTTGCCTTAAAAAGTAGTGTACCTTTTACGGCGTGCGGATGCATGCCGTAAAAGGTATCTCACTTTTACGGCGTGCTAAAATGCATGCCATAAAAAATGGTGTATCTTTTACGGCATGCAGATGCACGCCGTAAAAAGTGAGAACTTTTTA